GGGGGGGCCGTGCATGTGGAGTACGCTACAGGGTAGACAACTCTTTCACCTGCCATTCAGAAAAGAAAAGTCACCCCCCCCCCCTTTTCCGGAAAGTGGCGGCTTGAGTGGGTAAACTCAGATCCTTTATGGTCTAAAGTCTCCTATGAATGAATGGAGCTGGTGTTAATTGGTTGAATAAGTTCCAGTCATCATAAAGTTAATTTTTTTTATATGAAAATCTTCAGTGTTTCATTCCCTATTTCCCATTATAGGCCGATGGGACAAATCATCCCACTTATGAAGGTTTTCTCTGCCAAAATCTGAATGGCGAAATGTGTTTTTTTTTTTTTGCACCGCAGGTATTGCACCTTGAGGAAGGAAAGGGAAACTGAATGTGTCCATCGGCAGGCAGGTCTCGAGGGAGAGAGAGCAGAAGAGGGTGGTGGGGGGGGGGGGGGGGAAGAAGGAAGGGGGGGGGGAAAAGGGGGGGGGGGGGGGGGGGGGAGAAAGAGAAAGAGGGCAGGGTAAAGAGGAGGAGAGGGGGGCTGTCACAGAGAGCGCAAAGACCAACGGAGACAGAGCGACCCGCGGCCAGTCCACTCATGGTGCCTTCATCCTGCGTCCGCACGCAGCTCACAAACATCTGGAGGAGGACAAAAAAAAGCCACGACTTTCTTTTTTTTTGTGTGTGTTTGTTCTGCTCTCCCCCACCACTTCTTTTTTTCCCCAGCGCGACCGGGGAGAAAGTGACGCGTCCCCGAAATTAAGTACAAGTTGAAAGAGACGCAGCGCGCAAGAGTTGGCGGCCAAATAAATCTCGCTTTGAATCCTTCATCGCAGTAAGTAGGCGCCGTCACCCGAGTCATTACGGCTTCATTTGCTTTAATTGCTTTAATTAGTTACGGGATTGCCGTGTGTTGTGTCGGAGGTGAGGCTTTGTGGTTCTTTTTTCTAACTTTGGAACTCTCTTCGCTTTGAAAAAGTCACGCGTAAAAAGGGGGAAAATAAATACGGGGATTCAACGGGATCAGATTTGGACTTTTGCGTTCATATAAGTAAAAAATGAGGGTGGGATTGAACAATTCTGGCTCTTTTTTCATAGCTTTTAGTTGGTCAAATTTGAACAGTCTGCGCTTTTGAATACGCTTATTTGTGCACGCGTTTATTTTTGAGTATATGAGTTTGTTCTCAACTTGATTTCGAGAAAGTAAAAGTTCAGTCTGTGGGGGAAAAGGCCTCTGTCTGTTTATTCACATTTTAATTTTAAATGACAATAGAAACATAACAGAAAATGTTCAAACTTGATTTTTTTTATTTTATTTGGGATGATTTGTTTTAGTTGAATCTCAAGCTCACATGTCAAAACGCTTCTGTTTCCCGGATGCTTATTTCACATAAAAGGACGAATTGAATTTGAATCCATTTGTCTCAGTCAAATCTGCACTTTATTGATTCTCTAAGGAGAAAATGGTTCATTCCTAAAAACAAAACAGCCCAGTTGTACACTGTTTTTTTTTCCTGGATGTGTTTGTGAATTTTCTCCCTTCTTCTATTTGGAACTCACAATCAAGAAAACTTTGCATCCTCTGTGTGTGTTTTATTGGCAGTTTATAGTAATTATTTACAGGCTCAGCAGGCCTCCTCCAACCCCTTTTTTGTTGAAATTTCCCCAAAGCTGTGATTGTAAACATGCCTCCAGAATTGCAAACGGTGTTTTTGCAATGAAAAGATTTTCTTTTTAGAGTTCATGAAACAATATCCTGCTTTTTTTTTATTTTTTAGTCTAAATCAATTGTAAATCTGGGGATTCCAACCAGTGATTATCATGTAAGAGAGCATCTCTCGCTGTCTTCTTGCAGTCGCAGAGGGGGTAATGGACCTCCACCGCCCCTTCAAGATGGACAGCCCCTCCTACCTGCCGGCCCCCCTGGCCTCCCCCGCCCTGATGGTGCTGGCCTCTACGGCCGAGGCCGGCCGGGACGCGTCCGTCCCCTGCCAGGCGCCGCGGCCCTTCGGAGTCCCCGCCTCGGTGGAGAAGGAGCTCCACCTGCCCTTCCCCTCGGCCTCCTACACCTTCACCTCCATGTACCAGCGGCAGGGACCCATGTCGGGCGCTTTTCCGTCCCGAGACTTCCCGGCCTCCCTCCTCCACCTGCACCCCCAGTTCACGCCGCCCAACCTGGACTGCTCCACTCTGGGCATGCTCAGTCACGGCGGGGTGGGCGCCTTCCGCCCGTTCTCCTCCCCGCAGGAGGACAGGGAGTCCGGGGGCTACCACTCGGCGTTCACCCCGGCCAAGAGGCTGAAGAGCTGCTTCCCCGAGGCCGAGGGGAAGGAGTTTGACTTCGGCTCCCTGAAAGCCGGGGAGGAGAGCGGGAGGAAGCTGTTCTCCATGTCCGGCCTGCTGTCTGATGGGGAGGCTTCATCCAGCCCCGAGGAGCGCAAAGAGCACAGTGAGTAGACCCTCAGCCTGGAGAGCCGTCTTGACGCACTGTGTGTGTTTTTATACATTTACAGCTCCTCCTCCGACATCTAAACGCTCGCCGCATCTCTTTAAAGCACGCCGAAAACAGAGTTGAGGGTAATATTAAACCTCATGCTCACACAGCCAATGAGATGAACATATCCTCCACAGCTGCACCGGCTAAAGGTGACAAATTGAAAGGAGCTTCCTTGAGTGAGCCCCGGGAATATTTCTCTTTTTTTTTTGCTCTCTGTCATCTCCGTGGGCAAAGTGTTTACAGGAGCGGGCCGGGGAACTGACTTTGACACAAATAAATTGAATAGCGACACTCGTTCAGTTTAGCGATCATTAGCCACACATGACCATTAGGCCCTTTCGGAAGTCCGGCTTCTCTCTGTTGGCTGAGGAACACAGAGCGTGTGGAGGGTTTGACACGGGAGGAGTGAGAGTTGGGAAAACGAATGACACTCCGTCAGAGATAACGAGGTGGCAGAGATAGAGAGCAAGGGGATGGAGGAGGATGCAGAAAGAGAGGCAGAGAGCGAGAGCGAAGAGGGGAGAGACGCGGCGGTGTGCCTGAGCCTCGGCTTTTCCCGGCGACAACCCTCAGCTCAACATGGCCGCCCACACCAGTCGTCTGATTTGTTGACAAATGAGTGGGAGAGGTGTCAGTCAGCGCGCCGCCGGGGGAGAGACGCTCCTCATTACTCCTGGGGATAATTGCCCGACGACGCGGGGGCACAAGAGGGCCTCGGGGGGGGGGGGGGGGGGGGGGGGGGGGGGGGTGAGTCAGGGAGGCGATGCTAGGCATGATGGGAAATCAAACCCCCTCAGCAGCGGTCGCCAAGGGGAGCGCCTGACAGATGAAAGGTAGCAGAGGAAGACAGAAAAGGGAGAGGAGAGAGAGCACCTAAAGGCTCGGCAGATCAGAGGGGGACACCATCGAAAATAATGACAATGAGAAAGGGTGAGGGGGAAGGGAGGGAGGGAGGGAGGTAGAGGGGGGAGGCAGAGCTGGAGAAAGGGAGAAAAGGCATACACACCACCCAAAGGAGACTTTCATCCCACGCGTAAAGGGGCGGGAGCAGGGACGAGGTGTCTTAAGAAAAGTTTGGATTGTTCGCCGCGCGCGTGTTTCGCTTTGCATACGCGCATGTCTTTGTTGAAACTTGCTGATTTTTTGTTGGCGCTCGGCGCGGATGAGTGACAGGGCCAGGGCGGCGAGAGTGGCAGCGAGGAAGGAATCTGGATGCGGAATTTTAATAAGGACAGGAAAAGAAGGAGCTGGCAGCCGGCGTGCTGGTGCGAGAGGTGTGTCTATCTGACAGCGTTCGCCCCTCTCGCGCATGTGTGCTCACCTCCTGGTTTTGGGAATCTCATTTGGGGAATGTTTGACAAGGACAAAAGACGGGGCGCAATAGGACACGCCGAGCATCACCACTGCAAAAAGAAAAGAAGAAAAAAAACAGAGAGGAGGAAAAAAAATGGATTCATGCACATTGGAAGCTGCTTTTCCAGCTTTATCCAATTAGATTGGAGCTCAGGCAAACTAAGAGCTTTAATGCAATTGAGCCCCCAGCACTTTTCTAAGTCTGACATACACTTGTTCCTCTTGAATGGGTAACAGACAGTCACTTCAGGACCAAAAGTCTTAAGCGTTAAGCTGGAAATCTCCCCTTCGAGTGTGAGTGTGCTGTGTGAGGAGATTCTCACCGAGCTGCAAACTCAATGACATAATCCCGCTTTTATCTCATAATGTTTTCTTCATTTGTGAAATTACCGCCTTATGTGCGATTTGCATTTTTCCCCCGCAACGTCTCTCGGAGAGCAAAGTATCCCTGACGGTGCCTTAAACAAAAGAACGGCCCCTCAGAGGTGGGATCACGTGCCGAACACCACACCTAAACAATTAGAGGAGGATCAGACATAAAGGAGAAATGCAATGTAATAAAGTCCAAATAACCGGTATTGGCTTTTTTGTGAAATAACCACAAAGAAAAAAAAAATCTTCAAAGAGAACATCTATCTTTTTTCGCTCAAAGACCGTGAAAGCATTTTACAACGTAACTTTTGTTTTGCCCACAGGAGAAATGACCCGTTTTATTCTGTAAAAGCGTCAGGTGACAGTGCTTCCTCTCTGGCT